CTTCTAATGTCCTGACCCCACTGGTGGACCTCCTGATGGCACCTGGTATTTCTGGTCACTGTGTGACACAGAGTGTTGGACTGGATGGGCCTTTGTTAACAGTGGAATCAACTGCCTAGGGAGGTGGTGAGCTCCCCCTCATTGGCAGTCTTTAAGCAACAGCTGGACAAACACCTGTCAGGGATACTCCTGCTGATCCTGCATTGAGCAGGGGGCTGGACTAGATGGCCTGTATGGCCCCGTCCAACTCTGTGATTCTATGATCCTCCACATGCAGCTGCTGGTGTGACCTCAGGTCAGTTACAAGTTCTTTCAGAGCTGTTCTCTCACCAGCAATTCTCAAGAGAGCTCTCTCAGCCCCACCTAGGGGAGAGGAAGGGAAAGGAGATTGTAAGCCGCTCTGAGACTCCTTAGTATAGTGAAGGGCGGGGTATAAATCCAACCTCTTCTCTTCTTCTTCTTCGAGGGTTGAAAATGCTTTGGAAGAAGGATGACTGCTTATGGCGTGGGCAGTCCTCACAGGCGACTGTGTGGATTCTGACAACTGCTGGATCACTGCATGAAAAGCAGTGCTCAGCCACGGTGGGAAACCGGCACCTCTCTCCAGTCACTTCCCATTTTGAAAACAATGGTCAAAGAAGAAGAAGAGATTGGATTTATACCCCGCCCTTCGCTACCTAAAGGAGTCTCAGAGCGGCTTACAAACTCCTTTCCCTTCCCCCTCCCCACAACAGGCACCCTGTGAGGTAGGTGGGGCTAAGAGAGCTCTTGACAGAAACTGCTCTTTTTCAAGAACACCTCTGACAGAACTATGGCTTGCCCAAGGTCATCCAGCAGCTGCAAGTGGAGGAGTGAGGAATCAAACCTGGTTCTCCCAGATTAGAGTCCGCGCACTTAACCAGTACACCAAACTGGCTGTCTCTTTGCCTGCCCTGCCTTCACTGCCTCCTTTTGCCCACTGTTAGGAGGCTCACAAAGCAGTCATCTGAGAGGGGTTAGCCTTGGGCTCTACTTTGCCGTTCTGTTTTTCTCCCCCTGGACCCAAGTGACTCACCGCTGCTGGAGGAGCCCTGGCCGTCAGCTGCAGCCGAGAAGAGCTCATCCAGAGATCGGATGATGCTTCCTTCAGACAAAGACCTCCCAGTCACTTTAGGGGAAGCTCTTCCTGCAAGGCTGTCATTGATGGATGAAGATGAGGAAGGTGAAGTCCCCCCACTGGACACAGGTGTATTCCTGCTTGGTGGGGAGGGAGCACTGTGAAGAAGCCTCTTCGGGGAACTTCTGCCAGGTGGAGATGGTCTTCTGATGGGAGGAGAAGGAGGTGTTCTTGTAGGCACATTGAGCTGACTATTCCGGAAAGGCTGAAAAGGAGTGAAGAAAGGGGCACGTGTACTTATTTAACTAATATTCAGCTTTGAAAAATAATGAAAGAAGAAAATGTTTTCCTTAACATGGAACAGCCAAACCAGCCCTGTCTTGCCTGACACATGCCAGTGGAACAGGCACAATCCAGTCAACACAATGCACTTTCAATGGATTCAGACGGGTAGCCCTGTTGGTCTGAAGCAACAGAACAAAGTTTGAGTCCAGTGGCACCTTTAAGGATCTCACAGAGCCACACCAACATCTGAGCACAGTTCCAGCCAGGCATGGTGAATTTCAAGTTTCAGTTCCAAGCAAGGGCTTTCAAGACACTACTGGATAAGTTAAAGGGCTTGAAATCTCAACTCAGCCATATAGCGGTCCTTATTATACTGAGTTATGGCAGCCACTAAAAAGCAAGGTTGTTCTAAGGAGTCCATTGTTGGCAAGGTGTTGCCAGGACAAGAACAAACAAGCCCACCCACAAGGGAGCTGATGTCAGTAAGCATTTTCAGGAATGAAACCAGAGAGGCTGAACCTGCAGTAGTCTGCCAAATTACCTTCCCCCCCAGCCTGGACTGGGACGTGCTGTTCTGCCTCTTGTGCTTACTGGAGGCATCCAATAAGTGTCCTGTGTCTTCCCCCTCCCTGCCAAGGCCAGCTCTGTTTTTGCTTTGGCCTATGCCAGGTGCTGGGGTTTCCTTTGGCCTGGCAGCATCTGTCTTCAGATAGCGGAGCCCTCCTGCTCCTTGCTCATGGCCTTGGCTTGACTTGCTCCAGGAAAGCTCTTCATCATCGATCAGCATCTGTCGGGCAGCAGCAGAGCTGCCTGTGCCCAGCCTGGCCTTGCGCCTCTGGAGCTTGCTCTCTATTTGTGCCAGTTTCTGGAGAACGGCACTTGCCCTTCCCTGGGAGGCAGCGCTTGGGCTCGGCCTTGCAGCAGCAGCAGCAGGAGGACCGAGCTCTGTTTGTCCAGCCCCAAGGCTCGCGCGACGACTGCTGGTCTTTTGCTTCAGGAACCGGCTGCTGCGGGGCGGTAGAGGGGCCATGTCGTCAGTCCAGTGCTCGCTCTCCAGCTCACTTGCCCCCATCGAGGCGAGACGGCCGCGGCTGCTGCTCCAGGGTGCCAGGCCAGGTCTAAGGTCAGGAGCCTCCTGCAGCGAGAAGGAGGAAGCGGCTCGTGATTCCTAGGAAGAAAGAAAGAAAGAAGGGAGTCTCCAAAGCACTCTGCACGAGCTCAGAAGAACGGTCATGTGGGGTTTCTTTCACCAAGGCAGGAATCCCGATCCCCCAGGAGGACAGAGCGGGGGAAGACGCCCCTCCAGCCCTACGGGGCAGACATGGCGTCACCACGGCTCGCACCCAGACTCCGGCCCCTCACCCGCGCCCCCGTCGCCAGCCGGGCCTGCGCCCCCGCCGCGCGCCTCCCTTCCTCCCGTCGCATCGCCGCAGGGCCCCGCCGGCTCCTCGTCCCAGTCACTTAGCAACTAACCCTGCGTGCCGCTGCGCTCTCTTGTTGGTTGAGGGTCTGGAGGCGGGACAGCCAGGACAGCCAGTCAGAGAGAAAAACGTCACGAGGGAGTGGTCGTTACAGGCCGCCCGAGCGCTTCCAACACCCATCTATAGGGGGGGGGGTGGCGCTTCCCGGAGCGTGACGGACATGTGGTGAGAGTGAGGAGCGGAACGGTGGACCTACCAACGCCGGCTCTGAGGCTGGGGGGCGGGACTAACCGGTGTGAGGGCGGGGCATCTGTCTCGGCGGTGGCAGAAAAAGCAAGCCGCCGGACTCCGAGAGGGCGGTGTGGGGGAGGGTGCAACTGCTGGGGCGGTTGGTGAGCGGACAGCCGTTAGCCTGGTCCGGCTCCGTCCGCCCACATGCCGCCCTCCAACGGGCAGCTCGCCCTGCTCTGGCTCCTGGCCCTGCCGGCCCTCGGCACTGTACATTTCCGGGAGCAGTTTTTGGACGGAGGTGGAGGCCTGAGGAGGGGGCGGCCGCCCGCCAGTGGGAATAACCCCCCCCCCCCCCCCCCCCCCCAACTGGGGATTGTTATTCCCGCAAGCACTTTCCCATTTGGTTCTCCCCCGAAAAGGAACGCCGGGTTGCCAATCTCCGTGTGGGGCTTGGAGATCTCCCGGAATTACAACTCTAAACAACAAACTCTAGAGATCAGTTCCTCTGGATGAAATGGCAGCTTTGGGGGCTCCATCTTCCAGATCTCAAGGAGTTTTCCAACCCGGAGTTGGCAACCCTAGACCATGTGATTGACCCTTTGATTAGGGGGAGAAGGGCATTTCCCCTGGAAGCACCGCTACAGAAAGTGACTTTGAAGTGGCTCTTGTACGGTGCCGTCTTGACTTGTAGAAAAGAGCAAGAGGCCAGTAGCACCTTAAAAAGGTAAAGGTTCCTTTGCTCGAAAGCCAGTCGAATCCGACTCTAGGGTTGCGGTGCTCATCTCCGTTTCAAAGCCGAAGAGCCAGCGCTGTCTGAAGACATTTCCGTGGTCATGTGGCCGGCATGACTAAACACCAAGGCGCACGGAACGCTGTTACCTTCCCACCGAAGTGGTCCCTATTTATCTACTTGCAATTTCTTGCTTTCGAACTGCTAGGTTGGCAGGAGCTGGAACTAGAGATGGGAGCTCACTCCGTCATGCGGCAACTCGGGTCTCAAACTGCTGAACTACCGACCTTCCACAGCCTGCAGTTCAGCGTATTAACCACTTGAGCCACCGCAGCTCCTTAAAGACCAACAAAAGTTGTGGGAGCTGTCGTAAGTCGAAGTGACCCTGCCTCAAATTTTGTTAAGTCTTCGAAGTGAGCTGTGGCTTATGAAAGCCACAAATGTTGTTAGTCCTTAAGGTGCTCCAGGACTGTTGCCCTGTTCTACAGCTGTAGACTAACACAGCCACCCATCTTGCTTAACTTGTCTTAGGCTTTGAGCCAGGGGTCTTATATGTGATCATTTGTTGAGATGGCAGCTTGCAATAATGATGCTTCTGTATTAATAGGTTGTATTAATCTGCCATCTCTTTATGTGATGTGTTGATTTTCAGCCAAGAATTTGCCTCCCACACTGGTTTAGGACAGTTAGAAATGACTGCAGTCAATCCTTTAAAGTCCAGAGTGATCAGGGAGGGAAAAGGTATCAAGTGTTTTGGAGCCCAGTTGGGCAGTGGCCTCTCACCACCAGTCCTTAATTGTTCCAGCTAGCGCCTTCATCCATAAACAAAATAGAAGTCTAGTGGCACCTTACAGACTCACAACAGAAACAATATGTTGTGTCAAGCTGCTGGTGATGATGTTCTTTTGGCCTGCACTTGTCTCTTATTTTACCACCCATCTACCAAATTGTTGTGGGGGAATTAGCATTAAATGACAAATGTTTACCTCTGGTGACAAATTCTTTTGTTTTCTGTTTTATAACAGCAAAATGGCAGGAGAGATGGGTGTTGTCTCAGCATAAATCAAATTATGGGAAGTTTAGGTTAACTGCTGGGAGTTTTTATGGAGATCCAGAAGCAGATAAAGGTTTGAGAATTCTATCTGAGGATGATTGTAAAGGCAACATCAGTTCTGGTGTTTCTGTGCTTGTAACAGGTTGATAAATAACCAAAGGCTTCTTCCAGTACTGTATTTGTGCAAACCAATGGCCCCCTCTGCCCATGTAGTGTGTTGGGACCACCACTGGGTAGTAATTTGTAAATATTAATCATAGTTTTAGCCCCCCATCAGAGCTATGTTCATTCTTATAAATATATTTATTTATTTATGTTTATTTATAGCCCATGTTTCTCAAGACACGCTATACCATGTAAATCAATGCAGTCAGTAGGATTCAATAATGAATAAACTAAGAAATAGGCAGATGAAGAAGGAGATTAGATTTATACCCCACCCTTCACTCAGAGTCTCAGAGCTGTTTACAATCTCCTTTTCCATCCCCTTCCCCCAATAGACACCCTGTGAGATAGGTGGGGCTGAGAGAGCTCTTTCCAGAACTGTCCTTTCAGATAACAGCTCTGACAGAACTATGGCTTGCCCAAAGTCATCCAGCAGCTGCAAATGGAGGAGTGGGGAATCAAATCTGGTTCTCCCAGAGTAGAGTCCACGCACTTAACCACTACACCAAACTGGTGTTAAACATGACATGTTACACCATGCAGCACACAGTATTGCATAAACAGAAACACAGTACTTAATGGTATTGATTGGTAAAATAGTTTACAATACTAGTTTACATGTCTGAGACATCTAATTTTGTGCTGCAGGTCTGCAAACGAGTGAAAATTTAAAATTTTATGCTATTTCATCACGGTTTAAACCATTCAGTAATAAAGGAAAGCCTCTGGTAATCCAGTATACAGTAAAGCATGAACAGAAGATAGACTGTGGTGGTGGTTATGTGAAAATATTCCCCTCTAACCTGAACCAAAAGAACATGAGTGGAGAATCGCAGTACTATATCATGTTTGGTGAGTTGATTGCCTTAAGGCCACATTAGACATTGCCTCTGTGTAGTAAACCAATTGTGGACAAGTAGAGTAAAAACCTAAAGAGAGGAAGTCTAAACCTATAAAAACTATCTGATTATCAAAAGGAGTGTGCAGTTTTCTGAGAGTTTCTTTAAAATCAATCCAATGGAACCCCTCAGGAAACTCCTATTAGATTTTGAGTATGATTCCATAGGAGTATAGTGCCAGAGAGTTTCTTGGTGGATAACGTCCTTGGATTGTAATTCTGGATTAATGCTAGAGAGGAGGAGTAACTTGTGTTATGGATTGCCCCGTCCTAAGACCCTGATGCACCCACCCACCAGCATTGTCCTGGGGGAAGTACCTGTAAGAGTTCTGAGCAGAGCAGTGCTAATCAAATGCAGTCATAATATTCTCTCTTTAGGGTATTTGTGCTAAGGGCCCATTAGGTGCTGTTCCCATTAGCCAGGCTCAGTGCTCTGGTGTTCATGTCCTAGGCTGGGGTGATATCATGTCCTATCATTTGAGCTATTGGTGTCCTGGCTGGGATTTATGTAGTGTGTGTGTGTGTGGGGGGGCTGCAACTGGGTGCTGGGGCAGGATACAATTGGTTATATTTAGCATTTGGGAGGTGGAAGGTGGAACAACTCTTTTTTCCCCTTTCCTGGGCCACATGGTGGCTAAACAGATTTTCCAGATTTGTAGAAAAGTCCATAGTGGCCTGGGACAGGAGAGGCATCAACTGCTGACTTAAATCCAGCTCCACTCATGGCACACCCTGGCCTCTCCCACTTCTCTGCCTGTGTAACAGTTACGTGAGGCAGGGCTGGCCACCAGCTCCAGTCCAGAAATGCTGGAGTAGCTCATGGAGATGCCAGCTTAAGTCTTGAGATACCCTGGTGTGGCACGTAGTCATCAACCCAAGCCCTCTTTATCTGAGAGTTCAGATGGGGTTGTGCAAAGTATTTGGGGGGGGGAAGTGTGGGCAGGGAGCCTGGCAAAAGCTGAAGACAGCACAGGAGAAGTAAACTGTGTTCTCGTTCTTCAGGACCTGATATTTGTGGATCCGATACAAAGAAAGTCCATGTCATTTTAAACTACAAGAGCAAATTTTATCCCAATAAGAAACAAATTAGATGCAAAGTAAGTACCACAAATGTTTCTAAATACTGCGGAACTCTATTTTTTCAAAGTCTTCCAGTGTTAGAAGTCTTGTGTGGGTGGCAGCTGTGCCATCTGGCAGTTCCCTGAATGCCAATTATGGAGATGGCTTCAGTAGCATGTGTTGCTTTGGTGTGTTAATTTACATGTGCGATTCTTTGCTGCCTACTGCTTTAGCTTTTGGACAATCTTCCTTCTGGCCACTAGACCTTATATAGCTACTCGTGGCCCCCATCTGCAGATAGCTAAATTGTCGGATCCGGGCCACATGGAGGCTAAACAGATTTTCCAGGTTTGCCAAAAAATCTGTACATTTTAAAAAATGTTTTTTAAAATCCCCTGAAAAGTAAAATAGCATTCTGTGTGTAAGCATGGCAGTGGCACACACCAGGAGACATTTGAGGACCTGTTGCTGCCATAGTGGATGCTGGGAGCCATTGGGGCTGCTCTCGCCGCCACCACTGGGCTCCAAGGCTCAGCATGGGAGGGGAGGGAGGGGATTTCCCTCCCCACGAGTTTTGCCGGCCCCCACTTGTACAGAAAAAGATAGTCTGGTCCTAGTCTGCCTGTTGTTTCTTTTTACAGTGGATATGTTGTAAGCAGTGTGTGTGTGGAGGGGATTGATGCAGTATACTCCTGCAGATAGCATACCCTGCAGTTGTGGACAAGTTTACATCGGGACCACACAGCACAGCATCCAGACAAGAATAAAAGAGCATGAAAGACATTGCAGACTTGGCCAGCCTGAAAAATCAGCAGTGGCTGACAGAACACAGTACCTTATTCCAAGACACTGAAATGCTGGACAACACATCCAATTACCATGTCAGATTACACAGGGAAGCCATTGAAATTCATAAACATAAATACAATTTCAACAGGAAAGAAGAGAGTTTAAAAATAAATAGGGCATGGTTTCCTGTCCTGAAAAACACAAAATGCTCTACATTTTACAACAGCACTACAGATAAGATTAGAATTTCAACAGCCAATCCATATGCAAAAGAACCTCCTCAGGAAAGCACCTCTATTAGCATGTCACAGCCTGGAAAACTCCTACAAAATAATGACTCAGCCCTACCCCACCTTCCTGAGTAGATATAAATTACCTGCCTACCATTTTTCTTCTCACATTGACACAGAGAGTACTCCACATCTTTCTGTGTTATACCTCTGAAGATGCCAGTCACAGCTGCTGGCAAAACGTCAGGTCCTACAATGCCAAGACCACGGCCATACAGCCCAGAAAATCTATAACAACTAATGAACTCCAGCCTTCAACAACATATCTAGAATCTGTTTGATCGGTGCTGGTTATAGTAGATAATGGTCTTTTTCTTTCCATTCTCTGTTTTAGGTTGATGGATTTACTCATTTATATACACTAATCTTAAGACCAGACCACACGTATGAAGTGAAAATTGATAATGAAATAGTTGCCTCAGGCATTTTGGAAGATGACTGGGACTTCTTACCTCCACGGAGAATAAATGACCCAAAAGTGAAGAAACCGGAGGATTGGGGAGATGAACCTGAAATTGATGATCCAGAGGACACCAAGCCAGAGGTATATGCCTGCTCATGCAGACAAGTGTTACTAGACAACCAAGAGTCACCTTAGCTAAATTAGATGTATTCTGTTGTCAGGTCTCAGCTGTGGAAACTCCAGACAGTTGGGAAATAATTAAATGCATCCTCTCAGGAAGGTACAGATTCAAGCCAATCTTCCTCTCTGTGGCCTACCTGAGAAGGTGCTCAAAGAGACAGAGACTGAGATCAGACTGAGATAAGGGGGAGGAGGACACCATGTTGCAAGGACTTCTTTATCCATCACTGTCTCTCTTGGGGGTGTGGGGTTGAAGCAGAAAATAAGAAGCACCAGTTTGGACAGTTTCCTTACCGGCTGACTTCCCCATTTGTGAAGTGAGCTGGTATTACGGAAGAGAGCTTCTTTCTGTTTCCTGCCCTGGAGCAGCTTCCAGAAACCAGTCATTACTTTATCTCCCCATTCATTGTGAAAACGGTTCACTTCCTTCTCTGCGTAATATTCCTTGTGACTGTCAGATAATGTTGCCTCCACGAGAACAGCTGGTGTACTTCAGTGCAAAACGTAACCTCTTCCTTCCTTTTTTCTCTCCCCCAGGATTGGAATGTTGCTGAATACATCGTGGACAACAGTGCTGAGAAACCTAAAGACTGGGATGATGTTAAACAGGGTGTCTGGCAACCCCCCCTGCTCAAGAATCCGCTCTACAGGGTACAGTACTATTGTTTGACTGTGGAAGACTCTGAAGGGCTTGATAGACACTTTGGCAGTGAGTGTTCAGAAACTTTGGTTTGTTTCAGGGGGAATGGCAGCCCAGGAAGATCCCAAATCCAAACTACAGAGGTATTTGGCCCCATCCGCAAATTGAGAATCCAGCCTATGTGCCTGATGAGAGCATTTCAGTCTACGGGAACATAAGTGTTATTGGCCTTGATCTTTGGCAGGTCAGTTGTGTTTCTGCGTTTCTTTTTAAAGTTTATACCCGGGGTGGCCAAACTTGCTTAACATAAGAGCCACATAGAATAAACATCAGATGTTTGAGAGCCACAGGACATGAACAAATATTACATGGTTTCTACTGGGAAATATGCAAATTTGTTTTTTATTAACATTAAATGAGGCTGCCAAAAATAATAACAAAAGTGGTAAAAGCAGATATTGATAATGATATGTATTTGTCCAATGATATTTGTTTGCTAATGATTATTAGCTTCTCCAGCCGCCCTGCCAGGAGCCGCACAATATGTGTGAAAGAGCCACATGCGGCTCCCGAGCCACAGTTCGGCCACCCCCGATCTGGATGAAGGGGTAGAAGGGGGCTACTCATTAAATTTGCTGATGATACCAAATTGGGAGGAGTAGCAAACACCCAAGAAGATACAGTTCAACTTCAACAAGACCAGAATACTTTGGAGAAGTGGGTAGTTGCAAACAGGATGCAGTTCAACAATGATAAATGCACAGTATTACATCTGGGCCACAAAAATGTCAAGCACAAATACTGGATGGGGGATACGATTCTAGGGAGTAGTGTATGCGAAAGAGATCTTGGGGTAAGAGTGGACTGTAAATGAAATATGAACAGTCAGTGTGATGCGGTGGCAAAAAAAGGCAAACTCAGTCCTGGGTTGTATTAGAAGGGCCATAGCATTGAAATCGTAAGAGGTCATAGCCCCTGTGTACACTGCCTTGGTCAGGCTGCACCTGTGTGCAGTTCTGGAGGCCTCACTTCAGAAAGAATGTTGGCAAAATCGAGAGGGTGCAGAAGAGAGCGACCAGGATGATCAGAGGTCTGGAGACTGAGCCCTACGAGGAAAGGCTAAGGGCCTTGGGAATGTTTAGTTTGGAGGAGATTGAGGGGGGACATGATTGCTCTCTTTAAATATTTGAAAGGCTGTCATTTGGAGGAGGGCAAGGAGCTGTTCCAGTTGGCAGCAGAGGATAGGACCCGAAGCAACAGGTTTAAATTAAATGCAGAAAGATACTGGCTGGATATTAGGAAAACCTTTTTCATGGTCAGAGTGGTTCTAAGGTGGAACCAGCTGCCTAGGGAGGTGGTTAGCTCCCTGACACCCCAGCTCTAGAAAGTTTTTTGAGCACTCTCAGGTGCATAACATCTGGTCTGGGGGATCTGTACTCATCCAATGCAGCCAGGTGCTTCTCAGCTACCTGTCTGTCCATGTCAACCAGCAGCCCAGATGCTGTGACTTGCCTACTACCATCTCTAGATGAGCCTGTTCTCTTCTTCAGGGACAAAACTGAGGCAAAATAGGCATTGAATCTTTCTGCTTTCTCTCTGTCCTCTGTCAGAGTTTCTCCATTTTCACCCAACAGTGGGCCCATTGCCTCTTTCATCTTGCATTTGCTCCTCACATATCTGAAGAAGAGTTTCTTGTTGTAGCGAGCCTCCCCGGCCAGCTTTAGCTCACTGTGAGCTTTGGCCTCTCTGATGGCTGACCAACAATGCCTAGCAAGCTGCAGATACTCTTCTTTAGAGGTATGCCCTTGCCTCCATTTCTTGAACATTTCCTTTTTCTCCCTTAGCACATCACGCAGTTCTCTGTTCATCCACGTTGGCTTCTTGGATCCCCTACTATGTTGAGTTCATACTGACAGCTTGAGCTTGCAAAACCTCTTGTTTTAGGAGAGCCCACCCTTCACTTGCTCCTTTCCCTTCCAGCAGTCTTGCCCTACTGAAATCTAACAAAAAGCAAAAAGGAATTCTAGGAGGACAGGGTCACTTCCCCCTAAGGTCCCCACCTCCTTCATCCCATCTACTATCTCTTGCTTGTTGGTCAATATTAAGTTGAGTATGGCTGAGCCCCTTGCAGCTTCCTCCACCATTTGATGAAGGAAGCTGTCGTCCAGACAGGTCAGGAAGTTGCGTGACTGTGGGCGCTTTGCAGAGTTTGTCTCCCAGCACACATCAGGGAAGTTGAAGTCACAGCTATCAGATCATGTTGTTTGGATACCCTGTCAGGCTGTTCAAGGAGGGCAGCATCCACCTCTTCATCCTGGTCAGGAGGTCTGTAGCAGATCCCTTGTAGCTTCCGCCACCATTTGAGGAAGGAAGTCATCATCCGGACAGGTCAGGAAGTTGCGATGATGAAGAAGAGTTGGTTTTTGTCTCCCAAAAGAGCTGGGTGTTGTTTTTTTTACCATAAAGAGTCTCAAAGAGGCTTACAGTTGCCTTCCCTGCCTCTCCCCACGACAGTCCCTTTTTGAGGTAGGGTGGGGCTGAGAGTTCTGAGAGAACTGGGACTGGCCTGAGGTCACCCAGCAAACCCTGCTCTCTCTCCCCCCCCTCACGCAGAGGAGAGGCAGGCGGCAGCTAGAGATGGGACTTTTTTTTGGTGGTTGCACCTTGCCTGTGGAATGTCCTCCCCCCTGACTCACCTGGCCACCTACCTTCACCACTTTCTGTTGCAAGCCAAAATATTTCCTTTTACCTCAGTGTTTTTATTCCGGGATTGATCTTTTACAGTCTGCTTCTAGCCCACTAAATAAATAAGTACAAAATGTATTTATTTACTTCACATTTATAGCCTGCCTTTCCCAGAAGTGGTCTCAGGGCAGGTAACAACATCATTTATACAAAAAATGTGTTAATAAAATAACATTAAAATTTAAAACATCTTCATAAATATTAAAATGGTGGTCACAGCTAATAACAAATATATATCTGTGGTTGTGGAGGCCATATATGTTCCGCCAAAGGCCTGGTGGAACAGCTCTGTCTTTGCAGGCCCTGCTGAATTGAAGTAAATCCCTCAGGGCCCTGATCTCAATGGGAAGCATGTTCCACCAGGCAGGGGCCAGGGCGGAAAAAGCCCCGCCCCTGTTCGAGGCAAGAGTTTGGGGCCAGGGACTACCAGGAGGTGTTGATCCTTAGACCATAATGGTCTTTAGGGCATGTACGGGAAGAGGTGGTCCTTCAGATATGTTGGTCCCAGGCTGTGTAAGGCTTTAAAGGTTATTACCAACACCTTGAAGCGGATCCAGAACTCTACTGGTAACCAATGCAATTGGCGGAGTACCTGCCAAATGTGACCCCACATGGGCGTTGCTGTTAGTAGGCGCTCTGCTGTATTTTGCACCAGCTGTAGTTTCTGGGTCAGCCTCAAGGGTAAGCCTGCGTAGAGCGAATTACAGTAGTCAAGCCTGGAAGTGACCATTGCATGGGTCACTTTAGCCAAGTCTTGGGGGGAGAGATAGGGTTTCAGCAACCTAATCTGCCGAAGATGGAAAAAGGCAGATCGGGCAGCTACAGTAACCCGGGCCTCCATAGAAAGAGAGGCGTCCAAATTAATAAAAATATTGGGGGGGGGGGGGAAAGAGAGGCATCGAGGGTCACTCCCAGACTCCTCACCTTCTGGGCAGGCACCAAAGATGCCCCTTCAAGCGTGGGGAGCCTGATACCTATATCCCCTCCCTTCCAACTCAGGTACAGGACCTCCGTATTCGATGGATTTAGCTTCAACCGACTCTACCGCAACCATCCAGCCATATCCTCCAAAGCCAAATTATCAGGGGCAGAGGATAGATGGCCTTCCAATAACAGATAGAGCTGGATGTCATCTGCATATTGATGGCAACTCAGCCCATACCTCCGGACCAACTGGGCAAGGGGGGTGCATATAGATGTTAAATAGCATTGGTGAGAGGATCACCCCATGCGGCACTCCACGTTCCAGTGGGTATCACAGGGAGGTCCTCTCGCCCAGCGCCACCCTCTGTCCCCGATCACGGAGAGAGGAGGAAAACCATTGCAAGGCAGTCCCCTGAGCTCCTACGTCGGCAAGGTCAATAGATCATAATCAGCCATGTCGAACGCTGCTGTCAGATCAAGTAATAACAGCAGTGCCGACTCGCCCCGGTCCAGATGGCTATGGAGGTCATCCGTAAGGGCGACCAAAGCCGTTCTCCGTCCCATGACCAGGGTGGAAGCCAGACTGGAAAGGACTGAGGATGGAAGCGTCATCCAGGAAAGCTTGGAGTTGTTCTCAGCCACCTTACCCAGGAACAGTAGATTCAACACTGGGCAGTAGCTGGCCAGGACCACAGGGTCCAGTGTTGGTTTTTTAAAGAGCGGTCAGCCTCCTTTAGGGCCCCTGGGAAAGTCCCAGTAGACGGGGACAAGTTGATAATTTCTCCCAGAGGGACCCGAATGCTCTCCCTGCAGGCCTTCACTAGCCAGGAAGGGCAAGGATCAAAACGTTACACTGGTGCAACACGAGATTCTTTTTAATGAACTATTTGAAGTTTGTTGTCATTCTTAACTGCAGGTGAGATCTGGGACAATTTTTGATAATTTCTTGATCACAGACGATGAAACATACGCAGAAGAATTTGGTGATGAAACATGGGGAGAAACTAAGGTAATGGCCTGGATTTGTCACACGAGTGTTCAACAAAGGGTAAATTTGGGCTTGGTCCCCCTTCCCTTTTTGTTTAATGGCTAGCCCTGGGAACAAACTATTCTTCCTGCCACTCAGCAAGACAGTTGCAGGGTCTCTTGTTCTGTAGGGCTAGAGGTTGGAGAGATGAATTAAAATGCTGTGTTTCTGGTCTCATAATCTCCTGTCTTGGCAGTTGGGCTAGATCTAACCCTTGTAGTTGTTTCCCATGTTGCCACACCCAAGGGCATCCTGCCCTGCCTGGCCCAATCTTAAGAACATAAGAACATAAAAGAAGCCAATGTTGGATCAGGCCAATGGCCCATCCAGTCCAACACTCTGTCACACAGTGGCCAAAAATACCAGGTGCCATCAGGAGGCCCAGCAGTGAGGCCAGGACACTAGGAGCCCTCACACTATTGATCCCCCCAAGCACCCAAAATACAGAGCATCACTTGCCCCGGAGTCCCTATCTATAACTTGTGGCTAATAGCCACTGATGCACCTCTGCTCCATATCTATATATCTAATAGCCAAGTTGCCCCCTCCATGCGGATATCTAAATCCACACATCGGGGGCACTTGGGGGGCAGAGAGATTTTCCTGCACACTTGGAGCAGTCCCCAGGTGTGCAGAAAAATCTGAAACATTTAAAAAACTATACGGGGGATAGTTAAATCCCCCCCCCCAAAGGAAAAGAGTTCCCTGCACGTGCGCAGAGAACGCCCTTGCAACTGTCTTGCTGCCGCCGTGGGGGGGGAGGGGGCGGGAGAAGGCTTGGCGGGCCGGCGGCTGGGAGCCGCTCAGGACTCGCCATTGGTGCCGGGGGGCAGGGGAGAAGGCTCACCTGCAGCTCTTTCCTCCTCCTCCCCATGGATCTCCTCCGCCTTTTTTATTGCAGTCACACACTGTTTCAACATTTTCAGTGAGTTATCTACGACTCCAAGATCTCTCTCTTGGTCAGTCTCTGCCAGTTCGGACCCCATCAAGATCTCTCTCTTGGTCAGTCTCTGCCAGTTCGGACCCCATCAAGATCTCTCTCTTGGTCAGTCTCTGCCAGTTCGGACCCCATCAAGATCTCTCTCTTGGTCAGTCTCTGCCAGTTCGGACCCCATCAAGATCTCTCTCTTGGTCAGTCTCTGCCAGTTCGGACCCCATCAAGATCTCTCTCTTGGTCAGTCTCTGCCAGTTCGGACCCCATCAAGATCTCTCTCTTGGTCAGTCTCTGCCAGTTCGGACCCCATCAAGATCTCTCTCTTGGTCAGTCTCTGCCAGTTCGGACCCCATCAAGATCTCTCTCTTGGTCAGTCTCTGCCAGTTCGGACCCCATCAAGATCTCTCTCTTGGTCAGTCTCTGCCAGTTCGGACCCCATCAAGATCTCTCTCTTGGTCAGTCTCTGCCAGTTCGGACCCCATCAAGATCTCTCTCTTGGTCAGTCTCTGCCAGTTCGGACCTCTGCCAGTTCGGACCCCATAGTTAGGATTTTTGGCTCCAATGTGCATCACTTTGCACTTGGCCACATTGAACCCCATTTGCCACCTTGACGCCCACTCGCCCATCCTCGACAGAGCCCTTTGGAGTGCCTCACAATCCTCCCTGGTTTTCACCACCCTGAACAACTTCGTATCTTCCGCAAATGCAGCCACTTCACTGCTTAATCTTATGAGGCCTCAGAAGCTATGCAGGGTTGGCCCTGGTTAGTGCACGGATGGGAGACCACCAAGGAAGTCCAGGCAGGCAATGGCAAAACCGCCTTGGGATCGCCAGAAGCTGGCTGCAACGTGACTGGGTGTAGTGCCAGGTGCCAATTTGCTCCAGCAGCCTGGCTTTTTCCTCCCTTTGCTTTTTTCCTCCTTCAGCACCCTGAGCAGAAAATGAACCAGAAGCTAATTGAAGAAGAAAAGAAGAGGGAAAGGGCGAGAGAGGAGGAGGAGAGGCGCCGCAGGGGCCGAGTCGAGGAGGTGCCCAAGAAGAAAGCGTCCAGGCGGCAGAAGCAGCAGCAGCCATCGCAGACCCTTGTGGCCAAGAAGGAGGAGCTCTGAGGGGGCTCATAAGGCGGATCGGAGGAGGAGGAGGAGGAGGAGGGAGTCGACAGGGACAAGACAAGCGCGGCGGGGTCCAGCCCTCTGCTAGGTGGCGAAGGAGGCGCTCCGGAGAAGTTGAATAAAACTCGGTTCGCGCAGCAGCAGGGCCTGGCGCCTCTTCTTGCCTGGGCGGGCGCGGGTGGGAGGGGGGGGAGCTGCTGGGCGGTCCGTCGCGCCTTCCCCTCCCTCCGCGGGTGGGCAGGTGTGAGTGCGCGCGCAGCGCTCTTCCCGTTTCCCTCCCGGGGCAGGAAACGCGAGGCGGGGAGCCGCTCCCAACGGCAGGAAAGGGGGCCCGTGAGCGCCCCTCCCTCCGCGGCGCCTGTCCGCGCCGCCGCTAGGGGCGCTGTGGTCCCTTCCCGGCAGAGCGAGAGGAGGAGGAGGAGGAAGATGGCGGCGCTCATCCCTCTCGGCGGCGGGCCGCAGGTACGGAGGGAAGGAGGCGGCCGGGCCCGACCCCAACCGGCGGGGGAGACTGCAGGAGGGCTTTTCGCCGGAGGCGGCGGCAGCAGCAGCAGCGCCGGCGTGCGGGGGAACTGGGGCCAGGTATTCCCGCCGGGCTGGGCACTCCTCCCCTCGTGCCGTGACCTTGCGGGGAGCCAGCCGGGGGAGTGTCGCCCGCCAGCCCCCGCGCCGGAGGGGGGGGGGCGCTGGGGGGCCTCCCTTCCCTCTCTGTCAGGCCAGCGGGGAGGCGACTCTGTCGGCCGGCCACCCACCCACGAGCGAAGGGTGCCGAAGGGCTCTCTTTCCGACAGCCAGGCTGCGGGAGGGGAGGGGTCGTCCTCGCCCTGGTCAGGCTGTCCCCAGGAAGAGGAGGCCGGAGTCTGCTCCCCGCAGTGGCCCCGCCACGAGTTGTGGGGCAGCGGAGGGGAGAGCCCGCCCATGCCCGGTTACCGGGGGAGCGGCCAGGCCAGGCGCGGGGCTGCGTCCGAGGCGGCGGGGCGGCACAGGGTGACGAGGCTTCCCCCGGCCTCTGCGCGTCCGTCGCGAGGATCCACCCAGGGAGCGCTCCGGGAGGGAGGGAGGAGCCGGCTCAGCGCCAGGCAGCGAGGGGCTCGGTTCGGACGCCCGGCGGCGGCGGCGGCGCCCAGCGCTGCCAGGTTACCCTCAGGGACGCTCCGCTCTGGCGCACCGCGCAGGCCGGCCTTGGCTCCCTTCTCGTCCCGCTTGGTGTCGTTTCTTGAGCTGCCAGCGGCTTTCCGGGATCTCAGGCAGGGAAGGGCCTCCCCGGACCCGAGTGAGCACTTGGGCCCTGCCCCGGGGCGCCCGGCGAGCGGCTTTCTCCCCTGCGTCGAAGCCCACCTCCTGGCCTCTCCTGACGGGAAGAGGCCATTGCCAGCGGTGCGCTCTGGGAGGGCCTCCCCCCTGCAAAGCCCCAGCCCCTGCCTGGCCAGACACCGTTGGGGGAACGGCCTTCTGGCCTGCTCTGCCAGTGGCTTCACTTGGAGAGAGACCCTGAAGCAGGGAGGCAGCTGAGCCAGGCCTTCTCCGCACAGGGGAGGCAAGGCAAAAAAAACCACCCCCCCCCCCCCCATATTCCTGATGGCTGTCTCACAGAGAAAGAACTGTGTTAGTTTTGGCCGCAGAGGCAGCTACTGCCCGGTGTCTAGCATGGCAATCCATTTATAAATTATACTTTTTTGTGTGTTGTTTGTGTGTGCATTTTAAAGGGAATCAGTTCTGTGAACATTTTGTGTAACTCTCTAGTGCTTGTATTGTAAACTCGTAGAAAGAAAGGAAATCCCCAATTCCTTTGCCCATCTGGGCAGCCTCTCTCCTGCCCTTGTGCAGGAGAAGGTAGTTGTTTTATTGTCACCGTTAAAGGGGGTCTAAGCAGTAGCATTCTCTCCTTTTAACAGAATTGTTATTTAATTAGGGGGAGAGTGAAATATTCTGGGGTAGTTCCCAGCGTTTTCTCTAAAGTGAGTTAGTGTGAGCTAGCTCTCAGTTTTTTAGCCTCCAGCTCACACGTTTTTGTCTTAGCTCAGGAAGGATGGCTCCAGAGCAAACTAATTTATGCAGTAGCCAAATCGCTGGCTCAGAACTTTAATGCCGGTAGCTCACAAAGTAGGATTTTTGCTCCCAGGACTCCACAGCTTAGAGGGGGCACTAGTAGTTTCCTTTTGTTTCTGCCTTGGTGATGCCACATTTGCTTTAAAAACAGCATTCCATGTGACAGATTGGGGTGGGGCTTAGATTTACCATCTTGGGTGATGATGAGGCAACATAGCTCTCCGTGGGTACTTCTTGGTGTTGCTTGGAAAGTTTCTGTGGTTGGGGATGTACCCTTTCTCAAGATGATTACACAAATGGGAGAGATGTAGTTGTGAAATGTTTTTACCACTATGGGAAGAACTGGTTTGCCAGTAAGTGCCACTGCTCTTGTTTATGGGAGGAGCTTCTGGTACCTTAGATGGGACCTGTAAAACTTGTTGACATACTCAGTAAACTTGTCTTTGAATCCCTATGAAGGTGCCTTTATTTTATTCATCTTTCACTGCGGTCACACACACTAAATAATCCACTTCCAATACACTTTCCAACTGGATTTTTCCAGTTCACACAGTATAAATCCACTTGGAAATTCACTCAATTTCTCCCTACTGGGGAAAAGTGTGTGTCAGCTTCCTTTGCTTTAGAATACTGCAGGCAGATGTCAGAACCCACAGCCAACAACGTAGTACACGATTATCAGGAAAGGTAATACTTTATTGAAGAGCTATAGATGCATTAACATAGGCACTGTTAAGAATGGCGGCTGCCCCTGGGGCATAATAGGATATAGGGTATTGGCAAGGGTGGGCCGTAGGGACCATGTTACTCCGGTCTTGGTCCATTTACACTGACTCCAAATTTGTTTCTTGGCCCAATTCAAGGAGCTGACCTTTAAAACACTATACAGTTGGGGACTAACTTATCTTAAGGGCTGTCTACTCCTGTATGAACCTACCCAACCACAATGGCCATCCTCTGAGGCTGTGTTTCAGATGCCCTCACTCTAAAAGGCTAGAGGGGCAGCAACCCAAGAAAGACGTTCTAGGTTGCGGCACCAAAATTATGGAACTCCTTCCCCACAGGGTTGGCCAATTCTGTGTTGGGAGATTCCTGGAGATTTGAGGGATTGGGGAGGGAGTTAACACCCTTTCAAGGCAAGCATTTTCTCCAGGGGAACTGATCTGTGTAGTCTGGAGATGAGTTGTAATTCCAAGAGATCTCCAGGCCCCACCTGAAGACTGGCAGCCCGACTCCCTGGAATGTTCATTTGTCCCCTTCTATCACTGTTTTCTGCCAGTGGGTCAAGTGTTTCCTTTGGCATTGCCTCACTCCTTCTTGGCTTGTGTTGTAATTTGCTGTCTGCTTTTATATATGTAATTTAGCTCTGTTTTTAAATTGGTTTTCTGGTATATGTTATTATGCTGCTTTAGTCATTGGCGTTTTTGGTGGGTCTGATGGGGTAGAAAGGCAGGATATAGATGTTGTAAATAGATATAAATAATGAAATGGAGATCCAAAGTGGTAGAGTGCTCCTATGCTAAGTGCCTTGGGGACGTGGAATGTGGGAGCTCTTCTGACCCTCCCTCTCTATCACACTCCCAGTTTTTTCTTGTGGAAGTTGTCGTCAGCTCGGTTCCTTTTTGGTGGTCTCTTGGTTGTCCTGTTTTTTGAATGCCTTTTTTTTTTTTTTGAAGAGGTTGCCATGCAGGTTTTGTTGATATTACTATCAGGAAATGATCCTTTTAAAATCATAAGCTAAGCAGAAATGGATTTAAGGGGAGGAGGCTGAGAAGCCCAGAGGCCTTCTTTTGCAGGCCATGTTCCCTATTTCCAAGGCCCAAGCTAAACCACGCCTAAACAGACAGACATATCATTTATTCTGCAGTACACACCAGGGCAGGAGCTTCACCCCCAGCTGCAGAGCCCCTGAGCATGTGAAGAGACCAAGTTGTGTGACTGGGGCTCCCAAAGGGGAGGGATGTGCTTTGGGAAAGCTGCTGCCTCTGAGCCCCACAGCCATAGCATGGCAAGAGTAATGTTGCTTGACTTTGCAAGATCATTATACAGATTAACCTGGTTTTGTACGTGAAAGTGCTGTGTAGACGGGCAGTGTTTTCCTTTTGCCTGTGGTTAAATGGAAACTGCGGTGGCTCAAGTGGTTAAGACGCTGAACTGCAGGCTGTGGAAGGTCGGTAGTTCAGCAGTTTGAGACCCGAGTTGCCGCATGACGGAGTGAGCTCCCATCTCTAGTTCCAGCTCCTGCCAACCTAGCAGTTCGAAAGCAAGAAATTGCAAGTAGATAAATAGGTACCACTTCAGTGGGAAGGTAACAGTATTCTGTGCGCCTTGGTGTTTAGTCATGCTGGCCACATGACCACGGAAACGTCTTCGGACAGCGCTGGCTCTTCGGCTTTGAAATGGAGATGAGCACCGCAACCCTACAGTCGGACTCGACTGGCTTTCGAGCAAGGAAATCTTTACCTTTTAAATGGAAACCCACTCTCTCTTTTTTTAAAATTAATTTTATTTAATGTCTTCTCAAAGCACAATACAACCAATAACAAAAAGGCTCATAAAAATACATCGTTGGTTGGCAGCACGTGGAGAAACATCAAAAAAGTCACTTAAACACATCAGCAAAGGCTTCAGCAGCACAGTTGTCATAAGTATTTAAAATTGCTCTTGATATCCAAGCTAATGAAACAAAGAGGCAGCTGGATGAAAAGACTTGGCTGAACTTTACACAGTGACAACCAAACACAAAGTGCAGGGTGCGATAAACTATGTCCTTTAAAATGCAGCTTAATGGAAACCCACTCCCCTGCCTCTACCTGCCAGGTTGTGGTTCCGTTCCGCTCCTGGCACTCCGGCCTTCAGAAGAAGACACAAAATAGTTAATTGTGCATCCAAACTCCCAAGTAATCACACAAGGTAGCACTTTTGCTTTTAGGAAGCTAAAACCATCTCAAGTTTTGATACTTTACCTTTTCTTACTGAATGTTTTGGATTTTTAGCAGGCTTTTTTTGTTTGTTTGTTTGCCTTGTGCTGTTGATGTTCCATGTTCGAAGGTCATCCACAATGCTCTTCCAGCACACAGCTGGACAGATCTCATTGGCAAAAAAGCCTTAGACGATACAAGCCGGACATCGCTTCACCTGACCAATCAGTTTTCCAGTATATCAGCTGTTCTTTCTTGCTAAAACTGGAGGGCTGCCTTGGTGAACCCTTGTGAACTCTGCTGTGTGTGAAGGGGATGTGTTTTTGCTGACCTTGCTGCTTCTTGAAGACCCCACCATGTCCAGTGTGTTGCTAGGTGTTTGGAGGGCAAACGGAAGGCACTGCTGGGTGGAAGCTGCAGAGTGTAGGGAAGGTGAGCTGCTCCTTGGTGCTGATGGCTGTCCAGGAATCTGACTTGGCACAGGGCAGTGCTTGCTTTGCCAGTTTGCTCTGCCTGCTTGCTCTCATGTCCCAGCTTTCCACCAGGTTCTCGTCCAATCCTGTTTTCTCTGAAAAATGGAGATGAACCATTTCTAGTGTGGCATTCCATGATGGGAGGAGGGGTTTTCTGGCCAGCCCTAGCTGGTGGGTCCAAAGAAGAATGTCCTCTGACCCTTTCTTCTTTTACCTCTTGCTTAGCTTTCCGCTGGGAGCCCTTCGTACGAGACCTATTACAAACAGGCAAGTTTTTGAAGTTTCTCTCTCTCCCTCCTAACCACTTCAACACCTGATTTCCTCTCTGATTTGCTGGGTAGCAAATGCCTCTTGTGTGATCCCGTTGAGCGGTGGAAGCTGTTTGCGCCCTACCCCCTTCCGGCTCACCTTCAGTGTCGATGTTTGTCTCGCAGGTGGATCCAGCATGCGTCGGGAGAATTGGGGCCAGTGATGCTGCTTTGTTCCTTAAAAAATCCGGTCTTGCCGATGCCGTTCTTGGAAAAGTACGTTAGTTGTGTGCTTTGAAAGGGGTTGAGTGTTTCACATCGCCCAGTTTGTATGATTTGTCGAAGGGAGAAGAATTGTGTGTGGTGGCTTCTCTGCCCGGTATGTTGGGGTTGGTTGGATGAGAAGATTCTTTCTCTTGAACCTTACAGGTTGGTGCTGTCAGGTGCTTTGGCTCATTGGGGGGAAAGGTGCGGTATAAACCTTTTAAGTAAATGTGACGATTGTGATTCCCTCCCCCCAAAAAACCTTTATAATTGCCAGTGTAACTCCTGACGTTACGTTGCTTAATTAAGCTGTGCCCAAGTGACTTCCTAGAAGCTGCTACTCTGCCTTGTGCTCCTTAAGGGCAGCACAGCAACGCAGCCCACATGGAAGGTCCAGTTTGCCAGATTCTGGTGGTGGGGCTAAGAGAGGCCCTGCCCCAACAGGATTGCATGTCCTGGACAAGATGGACCCTCTGATGGGAGATTGGCAATTCCGTCTAGGTCTCCCCAGAAACGGGGGCATGAGGGATGGGTTGGCTGTAGGGAACTGACTGGGCATGTGCCTGGGTACAAAACAAAGTTAGTCGGCACATGCAGCAAGTTCACACAATGATGCTTTTCCTGGCAAGGTCCCTGCTTGGAGGAGGAAGGGACTTTTTAATGTCGGCTTATATTTTTGTATTTCCTTAGATATGGGATTTGGCAGATCCTGAGGGGAAAGGATTCCTAGACAAGCAGGTATGCAAGCACGATGTCTGGAAGAAGATAAAGCTGTGTTCTGCCATTTTACAACCCTGCCTCCTCTTGTGTTGTCCCCCACAATGCCAAATGCACATCTGAGAACGGCCCCTCTCTGGGAACATGTTTAAAACTGAGGCTCCCGTCTCCACAGCAAAGACATCGTTGGCCGCTCACTGAGGCAGAGAGCGCCTCTGGGCTGCACCTTGGCCAGCGCTTAGAGGCGGCTGAGTTACCAAGCAGCCCTCCATTCTTTCTGGAGTGGACGTTTCGCAGAAAGGGGTCTCCTGCTGGGTCAGACCAGTTTACTGCTTCTGACTGTGGACGTTCCCTTGAGTCACCATGGCTTGCAGCCCCTGATTGGTCTTTCCTTCCAGAATCTGACCTTTCCCCCTTTTAAAGCTGTCTGTGCTAGTTGCCATTGCTACATCTACTAGCAGTGATTTTAGCAGTTTAATTTAGTCTGTCCTGAATCAGTTGCCCATCACCCAGAATTCTAAGTTTTTTGGGGGGGGGGGGAGTGTTCCCTGTCCGCTTTCTCCTCCACATGCATGATTTTTGAAACGTCTGTGTGTATCCTCCTTCATTCATCTTTCCTCTGTACTGAGACATCCCAGACCCTTTAGGCTTCTTAAAAAGCTGCTCCAGTCCTTTAATCATCTAGGTTTCCACCTGCGCGTTTTCTGCTGCAGCTTTTAAAATACGATGACCAGACCTGTACATAGTATTCCAAATGAGGTTGTAACATAGACCTGTACTAGGGCATTACAGCATTGACCGTTTCAGTCCCATTCCCCTGCATGGATTTTGCCCTTTTCACCGTTGCCTCCCATTGAGTTGACATTTTCATCAGGCGATCTGCTGCAGTGCTCACATCTTTCCCTCTCAGCCTGGGCCAGTTAAAACCCCATCCACATAGGTTTAAAGATAGGGGATTTTTCTCCTCCTCCAGTGTGCGTGCAGCTCCTAGGAGCCACAGTGAGCTTCGTTTTCATTGTTGCTATCAGTCTGCAGAGATCCTCCTAGAGCTTGTCACAATCCACTTTTGTTTTCACGATCCTGAGTAATTTGGGGCTATCTGCAGCCATGGCCAGTACGCTACTCACTCCCAATCATTTATGAACAAATTAAATAGCACCCAATCCCAATACAGATCCCTGTGGTGCCCCACCGTTCACTTCCACTTGTGGCCGGACATGGCAGTTTATTCCTACTCTCTGCTTTGTGTCATTTAAACTATTTTTAGTCCATAAGAGAACTCTTCTTTTTATCCCATGACTACTATGCTTACTTGGGAGTCCTTGGTGAGGGACCTTGTTAAAAGCCTTTTGGAAGTCCAAGTGTATATGGTACCTGCTGGATCACCCTTATCCACATGCTTGTTAACCTGCTGAAAGAACTCCATGTGCTTAATGTACCTGGAACAGATGGTAGAAACAGCTTCAACTAATTTGCCTGGAACAGATGTTAGAGACTAACAGGCCCGTGTAGTTTCCTCAGTCTCCTTTGGACCCCTTTTTAATAATCAATGTAACATTTGTTACTTTCTAGTCTCCCCCCACCCCTGGTACAAAGACTGATTTTTCACAGCAAGTTATATATACTGGTTATAAGATCGACGTTTTCAAGTCTGCATGTCTTAAGGAGCTTCAGGTGTATGAGAGTAGAGAGACTTTTTCGTTTTTATTTTCCCGTTAATCTTAGGACTTAATTTCTTGCCCACCTCAATTTGAATCAGTTCTTCAGACATCCTTCCTGAAAACAGAAGCTCTGCTGTGGGTATCTGCCCTATATTCCCATGGTGAAGACATGTTGCAAAGAGTACATTCAGTTTCTCTGCCATCTTCTTTCATCGATCCTTTCGCTTCTTTGTCATCCAGCAGCCCAGCTGTCTCCGTGGCTGGTTGCCTGCTCCTGATGTATTTGAAGAAATGCTTATTCTTTCTCCTGGTGGGTCTCGGGTCCCATCTAGATTGTGTGCACGGAAGCATAACTTCCTTCCCTCTCCTGTCATGATGTTCCTGCGGGTCCTCCTTCCCTCAGGCACAGCATTTCGGGGGGCAGTTTGGGCTCTTTGGGGGAATCGCTCCCTTCTTGTGCATGCAGATCTTTTCCATGGGATGCAACCCAGTGTTTTTAGCAATCTGCTCCTCAAACTCACCTTTTCTTTCACTTATTGTCAGCTTACTGTTTTGTCAGAACCTCTGCTCCTTTCTGTTTACTTCCACTTTTTAAAGGAAGCCTTTTTGCCTTTCATGGTTTCCTTGACTTGGGTTAACCACAAGGCATACTTTTAGATTTGGTGGTACCTTTCCTGGTTTAAGGTATGCATACTATCTGGCCCTCAATTTTGTGTGGTTTTAAATACCTTGCAAGTACCTGGGAGCGGCTTGATTTTCTTGAGTCTCCTTTTGAGCTCCCTTCTGACTAGTCTTGTCCTTTCTGTAAAGTTCATAAGAATATAAGACGAGCCTTGCTGGATCAAACCAGCATCCTTTTTTCGTACAGTAGGCAACCAGTCACTCTGGAGGGTCAACGGATGGGGCACAGAGGCTGGTGCTGTCTCCTTGTTTCAGAGGTTTAGTCCCCCAAATATGGAGGTTCCCTTTAATCACTGTAGGTAGTATCCTGATCACATGTTAGTCCGTCAAGTTTAGTACTGTCCATTCAGACTGTCTCTCTGCAAACTATTGCCCAGTCTATAGGGGGTAGTTGAAACCACCCATTAATACAGTCCAACACATTCTGCGTTAGTTGCCTTGTTTATTTCCTTCTCCATGTTGAGATCAGCCTCATGGGTTTGGTCAGGTGGCTAGCAGTACACCCTCCACACACGCACACTCACTTTTAAGTAACCCTTAGGGCTTAGTAATCTCCCCCATGGTGACTCTGTGGAAGAATTTTATTTCTTAGGTTATTTGACTCTGTGTCCTCTTTGATATTTAGCTCCACCACCTCCAACATGTCCTTCCCTTTCCTATCTGTTGAGCATTGTCCTTTAGCACCTAGCTCTCCAGCTCCTTCGTCTTGGCTTGGAGGCTTCTAGCACTGTCCTAGAGATGTCCGTATCTCATTTCCCTCTCTGAGGATCCCCACCTCCACCCACTCTTAGGGTTCCTCACACAGCCTTCCTTTGCTGGCCTAGTCTAATTCTCAGGACCTGTACTGTCAGAGGAGGTTTGGGGGGGGGGGCACATGATTGTTCTCTTGAAGTCTTTGAAGGGCTGTCCCTTAGAGGAGGGCAGGGAGCTGTTCCTGTTGGCGGCAGAGGACAGGGCTCGCAATAATGGGATTACATTAAGGGCGGGAAGGTACTGGCTGGATCTTTTTCTACAGTAAGAGTAGTTCAGCAGTGGAATCAGCTACCTGGGGAGGTGGTGAGCTTCCCCTCACTGGCAGTCTTTAAGCAGCATCTGGACAAACACTTGTCTGGGATAGGCAATGATTCTGCATTGAGCAGGGAGTTGGACTAGATGGCCTGTATGGCCCCTTCCAGCTCTGTGATTCTATGATTCTATCCCTTAGAAGAAGAAGAAGAAGAGTAGAGATTGGATTGATACCCCACCCTTCACTACTCAAAGGAGTCTCAGAACGTCTTACAAACTCCTTTCCCTTCCCCTCCCCACAACAGGCACCCTGTGAGGTAGGTGGGGCTGAGAGAGCTCTGACAGAAACTGCTCTTTTTCAAGAACAGCTGTGCCAGAACTATGGCTTGCCCAAGGTCATCCAGCAGGTGCAAATTTAGAGATGAGTCATCCCAAACCAGAGGTTCCCCAGTTCCTGTCAGTTTCCCCCAGGAGTGAGTTTGCCACCGTTTTGATATTCAGCGCCTGGCTCCCTTTCAGTTCACGTGAAGCCCATCTCTTCCGGACAGGTTTGGCTTGTCCCAGAAAGTTCCCTGGTGCCTAGCAAATCCTTCCTCGCAGTACAGCTTTCTTATCCACTCGTTGATACCCCTGATTTGAGCCTGCCCAGCTGGCCTTGTATGTGGAACAGATCAAAATTCTGAGAAGGCTGCCTTTGAGGTCCCGGACTAATCTCCTGCCAAGTAATTTAGATTTCTCTCTTTAAATCGCTGGCTGTCTTTTGGCTTTGTCGACAGAAGGCTTGTGTCTCACTTCTTCACTGTCTCGCTCAGGGCTTCTTCATCGCATTGCGGCTCGTGGCCTGCGCACAGAGTGGCCATGATGTCAGCCTGAGCAGCCTAAATCTGGCTTTGCCACCTCCGAAATTTGTAAGTGTCTCTCTCTCTCTCTTTTTGGCTCTGTTTGTGAGGGGTGCAGCCCAGGTTTGTCTCCTGCAGCCATGTGACACGAGTGGCTGCAGCTGCTCGCAGGGACTGATGGGCCGGAGTGTTCTGTCTGTTTGCATTTCCAGCATGACAGTCCAAGCCCCTTGCAGATCTCTTCTTCATCGGACGCTCACTGGGCAGTCAGGGTAAGTTCCCAAGAGAACTACATTTCTGTGCGTGCCTCTGGAGTGGCTTCCTTGCTGGGCGCTGCTGTGGGACTTCTGTTGCTCACAGCAAAGGGGGATCCCTCTCCGTAGCTCAAGTTTTAACTGCATTGCAAGTGAAAATTGTTCATATATATATATATATATATATATATATATTTAATTTTAAGTTTTATGTTCTAATTAATTAATTAGTAGAAGTACCTGAGTGTGGTGGCTGCGCCATAAATAAATGAATGCCAGAAGAACATTCTGCACCTGATGACCAGTGTTTCCTCTAAACTGAGTTACTGTGAGCTAGCTTACGGTTTTTTTAGCTCACACATTTTTGTCTTAGCTCAGGAAGGGCGGCTCCAGAGCAAACCGATTTGTGCAGTAGCCAAATCGCTCGCTCACAGCTTTAATGCCAGTAGCTCACAAAGTAGAATTTTTGCTCACAAGACTCCACAGCTTAGAAGGAGCATTGCTGGTGACCTCAGGAGGAAACATTTTCCTGCCAGAGCACATTGTTGTGTTATTGTGGCACAATCTAACAAACACCTGTGGGGTTGAATCTGAGGGGCTAAACATCCTCCTCCTGGAACTTTGGACCTGCCATATAGTTTTATGATGTATGCCTAAGTCTGGTTGGCATTTATCCATTCCTTTAAAAATAAATCAATGGATCGTCTAGCTTTCACGGAAAACACTTGAGGTACAGTGTGCCCTTTCCAAGTGAGCTGTCTAGCTTACTTTTATTGAGTGCTGGGGGTGCGTGTGTGCACTCTTCTGGAGTTCTGTGGGCAGCTAGTTCTGTGGATCAATACATTTGACTTGGACTTCCTTGTCTTGTTTGTCTCCCAAGTTTGCAAAAAAGCTGCATTTGCTGGTGCTGTTTTCCTGGCACAGACCAAAGTGATTGTGATCCCCTTTAAAGCCCTAAATGAGGTCTTTAAAGGACTGCTTGTTTCCATATGAACCTGATAATCAGTTAAGATCTCTCAGAGGTGAGGGTAGGTTTCCCAGAGTCGGGGCCTTGTCTGAGGTAGCCCGTTGATGGTGCAAGTCCCTTCCTACAGATATTCTTCAGGCACTTAACAACTTAAGCCTTGGGTTAAAAGAAGAGTTTTCTTCACCCTGGTTTTTGGCTGCTTTGTTGGTACTGCAGTATCAGGGCAATCCTAAGAACACTTTCTTGTGAGGAAGCCCCCCACTGAATGGACCTGAATAAGATTCTTAGTAGACCTGCTTAGGAATGATCTCTTAAGTGTGCCTGGAGATCTCCTCTCATCCCTCACCATGTCTCTGGTTTAGTTATTGCATCTTTTTTAAATCTTGCCTAGGTCATTGTTTGTTTTGTGGATGGTCATCAACTGACTGCCAACTTTTTTTAATGATGTGTGTTTTATTCTTAGCTGGTTCAGAAGCTTTGAGCTGAGCGGCGCCCTGCAGAAAGAGAGAGAGAGAGAGAGTGTGTAACTCTCCAGTTGTAATCCAAGGGGAATAATTTTCTTATGAGGGTTTTATATAGGTTGACTTAAAAACTGGGCTCCAGGAAGATGCCTGCGCAAGCTCCTCTGAGCATTCACTCAGCTCAATTTTGAACTGATTCAGGCTGTTTCTTGCCCAACAGGTGGAAGAGAAAGCAAAGTTTGATGGCATTTTCGAAAGCCTTTTGCCTGTAAACGGTTTACTTTCGGGAGACAAAGTGAAGCCAGTGTTAATGAACTCTAAACTACCTCTTGATATCCTTGGAAGGGTAAGACAAGCTCCTATATTCTCTTTTGTACTGTCTGGTTTGAGCATGGTGTGGATCTAGAGCCTGTTTGGCGTTGTAGCTGGAAGAGTGTCGGATTGTAGCTGGACAGATCCGTGTTCAAACCCTGCCTCTGCCGTGAAGCTTACTGGGTGAATGTGATGCTTCTGCCCTGGCTCCCAACCAGTGTTCCCTCTAAGCTGAGTTAGTGTGAGCTAGCTCACAGTTTTTTAGCCTCCAGCTCACACATTTTTGTCTTAGCTCAGGAAGGATGGCTCCAGAGCAAACTAATTTATGCAGTAGCCAAATCGCTCGCTCACCACTTGAATGCCAGTGGCTCACAAAGTAGAATTTTTGCTCACAAGACTCCACAGCTTAGAGGGAGCATTGCTCCCAACCTGCCACCTTCATTCCTTGCTCAGGCAAACAGCCCTCCAGCAAGTGAGAGAGGCCCAGCCCTGCTCAAACACTGGAGGAGAGGGGAGTCATTTTGGTGAGGGGACCCACTTGCCCCAGCAGGAAAAAAAGCTAACCTACTTGAAACTTACAGATCCTAAGCAGATGATCTCCCCTTCTTGTTGGGAAATGTGTATGGTCATGCTTCCCCCATGGTCTCTCTCTCTCTCTCTCTCACACACACACACACACATGGAAGAGACAGCTCTTTTTCTGGGTCTCCCCCCATCCCCAGCATGTGTAAGAAGGTCTTAACCAATCTGGGCCTTGGGTTCTGGAAGCAACAACCCACCAGGATCAGCCAATCGAGACGTTGCTAATATATCAAAGAGATGTCATGTTGTCCAGAGTGGGGCAGTAAAAACTCTGGGTGGGAGGGTTTTCCTCCACTATCCCCAGTTTCAGTCCCATGTGGCTTGCGGAGTGGTGGTTTTCTCCCTGTGCTCATTAAAGAGTGCAGCAACTCCTTTTTTCTCTATGGTTTTGTTTTTACTTATTTATTTTTATTTATCATTTTGATTTGTGAATTGCTCTGTCCCTGAATACTCAGGGTTCTGAGCAATGAATAACAATGCTAAAATATATCAGAATAAATTCAAGATAAAACAGTGAAGTGATTTAAAATAAACAGTTTACAGATGGCATTGTTTAGGTCTCAGCTGCATCACGGCTTCCTATAAATACTGAAACAGAACTGGGAAGGGAAGGAGGGGGTCGATGGATGAAGGAAATGGAGTGCCAGCCACGATGGTACCCGTCACTGCCCTCAGCCGGAGCCCTGGCGGAACATCTGTGCTTTACAGGCCCTGCAGAACTTCATCAGATCCTCTTCTTATCTTCCCCTTATCTTGCCTCGGAGGCATGTTTTCAGAATCTCAAATTCAAAAGGGTTGAAAATTAAGAGCAAACAGACGGTGAGCTGTGGGTAATGGCTACCAACCACCACTGGTCGTAGCTGGCCCCCCCCCCCCCCCCCCCGCCCCACCCCTCCCCCCCCCAACTGCAGAAAAGCCAAGAGTTGTGAAGCCGCCTGAAGGGGAAGCGGAGAACAGTAGGCTGACTTGGGTAAATGACCATCAGAGAGGACAAAAAGAGAGCCATTTGTTCCTCAAGACTGAATTTGGAGTGCCAGTACCAAATTCCATTAGTGTTAATCACACAAGTCAACCTGACACCAGCAGGAGAAGAGAATTTGATGAAAACTCTCTGGAGAGCTTTAGTAGCATGCCAGATCCACTGGATCCTACTACTGTGTCAAAAACATTCAAACCAGAAACAGGCAGTGATCTTTCTGTGTTTGAAGCTTTGAAAAACGCCATTTATTCTGAAGTAGCTACATTGATATCTCCAAACAAAGCTCGCCCTCATATTCTAATTGAGCTTTTTCATGCACTTCAGGGGCTAAATTCAGACTATTTGAGACACAGAGCACTGTATAGGTTACAGGATATAGTAGCCAGGCATCCATCTGAAGCCAACACAAAAGCAGAATGTCCAAAACCTCTGAACTCAAAGGTGTGGTTAAGATCCAATTTAGAACTTACTCCCTGCGACAGACTTGCTACTACTGATGATGAGACATTAGTGAAGAGCTTTTACCCAGGAGGACCCTGCAGTGCATTAACCTGACGTTGTGTTCTCTTTAATGTTGATCAGAATACTGTTTTACGGTTTTCTTATTGTTTTCATATGTTAATGTTAATTGACTTGAAAGGGCAAACCACAGCCCACATCCCGTGTGCAGACCACATCAATGGGGATCCAGGGAAGGACCCCACGATTTGGTCTGGTGGGGGGTGTCATGATCTGGGCTGTGCCACCAGAGGCCTACTAGGCCCAGGGAGCTTGGCTACCAGTAGGTGAGGCTGGGCCTACAACTCCCAGAAGCCCCTAAGAGGTTTTGGAACCAAAATTGACCAATAGGAAAAGAGGAGGACTTGGAATAAAAGATCTGGAGCAGCAGGAAAAGCTGTTCTTCTTCCCAGAGGGCAGAGCCAGAAGGAAGGCTGCTGCAGGGAACATAAGAACATAAGAGATGCCAATGTTGGATCAGGCCAAAAGCCCATCCCGTCCAACACTCTGTATCACACAGTGGCCAGAAATACCAGTGCCATCAGGAGGTCCACCAGTGGGGCCAGGACATTAGAAGCCCTCCCACTGTTCACCCCCCCTCCAAGCACCAAGAAGACAGAGCATCACTTGCCCTAGAGCCCCTATCTATACCTTGTGGCTAATAGCCACTGATGGACCTCTGCTCCATATGGGAAGAGACCCTCATCCTGAGGGAAGGGTGAGTAGTCTAGTGCCACTTGGAATAGTGGGCTTTTTGTTGTTCAGTCGCACAGTCGAGTCCGACTCTTTGCGACCTCATGGACCAGATCAAGCCAGGCCTTCCTGTCTTCTGCCGTCCTCCGAAGTTTGCTCAATTTCATGTTTGTTGCATCTGTGACACTGTCTAACCATCTCATTCTTTGCTGTCCCCGTCTTCTTTGACCTTCAATCTTTCCCAGCATCAGGGTCTTCTCCAGTGAGTGCTCCCTTCTCATTTGGTGGCCAAAGTATTTGAGCTTCAGCTTCATTATCTGGCCTTCCAGGGAACAGTCAGGGTTGATTTCTTTTAGGATTGACTGATTTGATCTTCTTGCAGTCCAAGGGACTCTCAAGAGTCTCCTCCAGCACCATAGTTCAAAAGAATCTATTCTTCGGCACTCGGCCTTCCTTATAGTCCAACTCTCACAGCCATACATGACTACTGGGAATACCATTGCTTTGACCATGCGGACTTTTGTTGGCAGGGTGATGTCTCTACTTTTTATCATGCTGTTTAGGTTCGCCATCGCTTTCCTCCCAAGGAGCAGGCGTCTTTTAATTTCATGGCTGCTGTCACAGTCTGCGGTGATCTGGGCTCCCACTACTTCCACGACTCCCCCTTCTATTTGCCAAGGAGTGATGGGGCCGGATGCCATGATCTTAGTTTTTTTGATGTTGAGCTTCAAGCCCACTTTTGCGCTCTCCTCTTTTACTCTGAGCAAGAGGCTCTTTAGGTCCTCTTCACTTTCTGCCATTAGAGTGGTATCGTCTGCATATCTGAGGTTGTTGATCTTTTCCCCAGCAATCTTAATTCCGGTTTGTGATTCATCCAGGTCAACATTTCACATGATGTACTCTGCATATAAGTTAAATAAGCAAGGTGACAATATACATCCTTGTTGTACTCCTTTTCCTATGCTA